AAGAATGACCATGGAAGTAGTGGAAGATGTTTAAAAATTATTCTGAACTGTTTTGTCATGTCCCTTCCAAAAGGAGGTTTAAAATCACCACACATACTTAGAAAAAAATCTTATTCCGGATGAAAAAGTTACTTAGATTCGATCCTCTTCGAAATGTCTTCGACGAGGTCTTAATTGTTCATTTATTTACAATCCACTTTAAGACGCCAGGTAGCGGCTACAACTATCAACGAACTAAAATGTTACGGGCTAAAAGCAGAGGATGAAAGCCATCGAGGGCGGGAAGTGGACACAACGGTCTATACCCTCAGCACATAACGTGTATTCTGGGATAGGGGGTGAGAAACAGTATAGGACAGTTGCTATGTGCCCTCGCTTCTAGAAAGTAACTTAAGTTCATGAAAGGAAAACCGCATAGAAGCGGAATACTAGTTTAACTTCCTCAGCCACCTCGTGGAAAGGCTGGAAAACCTCGGGAGAAGAGGCGAATCCCCCGCCCACGAGTCCACCAGCTTGGCCGCCTCACAGGAGCGGCAGGTAGAACTACACGTTCGACCCATCGCCTGTTCCCATGGCGATTTATGAGATGCAGGCGGTGTTCCTCGCCTCTCACTGTCTTTTTCTGTCCCTCCCCATGCTTGGCTCCACAGAATTCCTCTCACCAAACACCGAACGTAGAGAACGATCCACCGCAGGGTCTCTCACCGTCAAACCCGCCATCGCTCTCTTCAGGCGGCTTCCGGTGCGCTAGGGCATACTTCCGCAAGGCGCTTGAGTCCGGCGCCCAACCTACTTCCGTACTGCGCCTACACCGAAAAGGCCTGGGCCGGGCGGACACAGGGCCCCTCCCCTGGCGTCATTGCGTCACAGCAGGCGTTCCTTCCTCCAGAGCATTAACCCTTCCGGGCAGGGCTGCCGCTCGAAAGTAACTTCATTCATATCCAGATTCGGGCAGGCCCAGGCTAATTTGAAGCCTTTATTATTCACTTTCTTTAGGTTAACGCAATCGTTAACCTAAAGTAATCGTCTACTCCAATAAAGATGGCAGCAGCGGCTTTACCAAGGAAACAGGGAAATCATTTGCTAACTACCGTGGCACTTTTATTTTAATTACGCCCTGTGAGGGGCGGGAAATGCTGGGCCCCGCCCCAGCGGCGTGCAAATTATCATTTTGTAAAAGCTGTCAGTCTACGGAGTGAGAAGAGTAAAGACAGCTGCCACAGACTAGAGAGTGAGAGAATGAGTGGGTACTCAACGTCCAGGCGCTAACAGTTGAGAGGATGGGGATTGCATTAAATCTGTATAATGTTTTATGTAATATGGTCATTTTAACTATGTTGATTCTTCCAATCCAAGAACACGGAATATCATTCCATTTCTTTAGATCTTCTTCGATTTCTTTTAATAGGGTCTTGTAGTTTTCATTATATAGGTCCTTCATACGTTTCGTTAAATTTATTC